TGGATTTGTGACCTGACCACTACTAACTTTTCATTATCAGTTAAACGTTCCCATGTCCGAACATAGCTTCGAACTAACCAAATAAGCAAGGCCGGTTTTCGTGACATGTTGCCCCCTGTTTTACTCATCGAATCTAGAAACGAATAGCTTTGTTTTGGTTCACTTTGTAATGTTCTACTTTGCACGGCCTACGCAATGCGATGATACCTAATCGGATTTGTTGTGTCTGTCGTCAGATATCAGGTTGTATTCGAGATGACCATACACGATAGCACGTGCTGGGTGCAACAAAACAAAGAATGGTCAGCCTAAATAAACATGGCTCAGCAAACGCCAAAGCCTACATCTAGTAATCAGTTGAATACGAATAACGCATCCGTATCTTGTTACATTCACTTAAACAAAAGCGCATACTGTGAATATTAACAGCAGCAATGGAATGTTTAGAATGTATAGCAAGATGGAGCTGAACTAATGTATTTGTACAAGTTACGCTATTTGTATTGCATCGCTGGTGCCAGTTATATGGTGATCGAACGATAAAATATCAGTCATCCACTTTAGATGACCCTGTAGTATATATTCACACTGTAAAACGTCTCCTTCTTTTCTCATTCTACTTAAACCTGATACTCATTAGGCGAGCATGGAACAGTAACCAACAACATTTCACAGTGCTATAGTTAGATCAGACCAATTAGACTTTGCACACCGGTACTGTTTGGAGTAATTAATATTCATCTGTCAGAATCAAAATGATGCGAGTTACGCAACCTGTTGCAGAAAATATGATATGTAGTGTAACCCCAATAATGACGCCATTTCATTGTCAGCCCATGTCCATGAGTTTTGGATCTATCACCAATTGATGGATATGCCTTCATTCCTCAACGAGTAGATCTTATCTGAGTGAGACAACTGTATGCAACAAATAGCAGTTCATTTATCGTATCGCGTATCTTTTCAATTCTACCGGATGAGAGCAATTATTTGAAAATCTTATGGATTGCTTTAACTTGATGAGCTGTCCGATGAGCTTGTGAAAGAATGAATGAAAATAAGTATGCTGGACAAGGACAGTTCTTTATGTTTATTTAGCTTTTGCACTTATTTATCACGCACAAAGCGAATAAAAGTCGGAATTGGGAAACCGGTGAATGAAAGGACATAATACATACGGGATAGTCGAGGTATCATCGACGTAAAAGCTAATCAGTTAATTCTCCCTCTACCGGGTGAAATACTGTACATGAACGAATACGGAAAGACAGAGAGGGGGAGATAGAAATCGAGTGGTACAGTCAATGTCGCATAACTTGACGGCTCGAGAGAACAACGCGGGGGGGGGGGGGGCAAATAGGATATTACTTCATCTAGCGACTGGCACCTCAGTGTTCAGCAAATTAATTCACCCTTTCAAGTTTACAATAAACATTTCTTACAACGGCTATGTCCCTCGGATATTAATTCCGACGACTGAAGCAAAATGGTGCAATCATGGAGGTGATGTTCGTGGGCAGTATGTGACTACAATATACAGCGGTGCTTAGATTGGATCTTCATTACACGCAACTGCCGTTGTCAAGCTGCCATAATGGGGTTGATTAGAATAGTGATTTATGTAAGGAGTGCTGTCTCCTATTATAGTTTACAAGAAAATATGCATATTGTATAAACTGCGGGGAACTTCAGTGTCCCAGTCAAAAAGATGATGTCACCTTAAGTTACTCTAACGTTCACAAACTCAACGACTACTAAAAACATCCAATTCATTCAGAGGTAAAACGTCAACGAGAGCAGCATTCAGTGCTCATTCAGACGTGACTTTCACCAACTGTAAACAATTGCTATCTATGGAAAAATATACGTGCTACCTAATAATTGGGACCATTGCTTGCGAATGCTATTTGTGTACTCGCATAAAAATAAGCTTCAATTCAATTAATAAGATTGTTGTCTGACTAAATAAACTCACTGACCATCACTGAAAATAACACATGAACAAACATGATTTGGCAATTTGGTTAAGCCATGAAATGAGCTGGTTGACATAGACGCCTTCCATGCGATGGGTTCGGAGTTCAAATCTCGAACGGGACAGGGGTTATACACTACTGATGAGGTTTAATAAGAACGAAATTCGAGTCTAGTGCTTCCGCGTGCATGGTTAGCTGGAAGAGCGGAGAAATGTGTGTGAAGGTGAAGTCCAAAGGACAGTCAGTTAAATCAATCAATAATAAAATTTTGATAGGACGGATGCTCACTATAGTCACATCAACCAAAGTAGTATTTTTTGTCAAGAATTTATGACCAAACGACAAAACAAACTTTATTTCACCTAAATAGACATTCTTCTCTATACCAGCAGAGTTGATAATACGCTGAATTCGAACGCTTCGGTGCAACCCATACAATCAACACTTTCTTGGAGAGGAGGTAATAAACGATCTACCCAGGGGAGGAATAAGCTGGAATACCCCCC